GTTTGGTCTGTCTATTTTTACTCAGTTCATATCTCCCTCCCTTTTTATTTCTGTCAATACTTTTTCTAGTTTTGTATGCATTTCTGCCTCATTATAAATATTAGGAGAGGGTGGTCTTAAAAGGAAACCATGTGCCTATTGGTTGGTTAGGCTGCATTTAATCTCCATGTGACCAGGGCAGCATTAGTCACAAAAAATATGGCTAGCATGAGTTCATCAGTCAGCTGAGCTGAGGCATTTGCAGCTTGATGCAATTCCTGTTTTTATTTGTTAAGTCGACACTATGATGGAACGTGTTTCTGTTACCCGCACACATGGGCAACTTAAGTTGTTTCTTTAAACCTTAATTGTCCCTAACAGAAACTTCAGAACTACCCCTTCAGCAGGCACAGCTGGACTGGCAATCGGTCATAGCAGGCACAGAGAGACACTATTAGCTCTCTATACTCATAGTGGCAAAAACCTGGTAGATCAACCTATTAGTTATGATTGATTGACCTGTGCCAGTAAGGGCAGCTAATGTCCGCTGCCCTTTCCCTCTCATGCCACACCTGTTGGTCAGTCAATACACAGAGAGGAGAACAGAGAAAACTGGAAAAAAGCAAGAAATGAAGAAGTGGCAACGCAAAACAGTTAAAAGGGACAAGAAAATGTGTAAAGGTATCACAGATGTTTGCCAGTGGTTATGGTACAGTTTCTATGTCAGCTGCATGCAGCATCCAAATAATCAGGCAGGAGGAGGAAAGACCTGCAGCGGCTGTAGATGCATTTGTGGGTAATACTGAACTTTACTTTAGACATGATGAACTACAGTGTTATGAAATTTTACCAGTTTGAAAATAAATTTATTAATAACTATAACTGGAGGTTATACCCATCTAATGGCTAAATTGACAGCTACGTAAACCATCAGTGTTTATTACCATCACTGCTTTGTTAGTTTGGTCTTACAATTAACAATTCACACATTTTGATTTAAAGTCATCTCTTTTAGCATTAATAAAGGTGTTTAAAATCCTATGATTCAGTTGTCATTTTAAGTGCAGCTAATCTGTAAACATTAAAGATAATTATTCCTTACAGATTTCAATTATAATTTACAATTTAAAATTATAATTTGAGGAGATTTAGGAGATTCTGGGATGTCAGACATATGCTATCTAACTCAACAAGGTGTGACAGGGCCCTAAAATTCTTGAGAAAGTAGTTATCAAACAAGTGTGCTACCCCTTACTCCACAACAAACTTTTTAAAGAGTTTCAGTCTGGCTTTAGAGCTCATCATAGCACTGAAACAGCTCTGTTGAAAGTCACTAATGATGTTCTCATGGCCTCAGATAATGGACTTGTATCTGTACTTGTCCTTTTAGATCTCAGTGCTGCATTTGATCCAGTTGATCATAATATTCTTTTAGAAAGACAAATACTTTGTAGGAATGAAAGGAACAGGTTTGGCCTGGTTTAAATCGTATCTATCTGACAGATTTCAATTTGTTCACTTTTATGCTAAATCTTCCTCATGCTCCAGCGTTACCTGTGGAGTACCACGGGGATCAGTGCTAGGACCAGTTCTCTTTACTAGGCCTATGTATATGATCCCAATTGATAGAATTATTAGACAGCTTGGGATTAATTTCCACACAGTCTTTAAAAAAGAAGCTGATTAGTCAGTCATTTCATTTGGGTGGGATTAAACTGATCTCAGATAATTAGGTAAAAAATCTTGAAGTTATTTTTATTCAGGACTTGTCATTTAAATCCTATATTCAAGAGATATCTAGAATTTACTTCTTTCATCTGTGGAATATTGCAGAAATTTGAAATATCCTGTCCTTTGACTATTGTAATTCTTTACTATCAGCAAATTCACATGCTGTAGTTACTGTAAAAGCCTGCAGTCAGAGTTCTGATAAAAAAATAAAAAGAGAGATCATATCCTGGCTTCTCTTCATTGGCTTCCTGTTACATCCAGAAGAGATTTTAAAATCATCATTCTCACATATAAAGCCTTTGGCTAAGCTTCATCTTATATCAGATATATGATTGTTCCTTGTGTTCCTAACAGAGCACTTCACCCTCAATCTGCAGGCTCAGTGGCTCAGGTTATCCTGAGCTATCTCTATAGCTGCTATAGTCTTAAACTCCTGGAAGACATAGGGACCACTTTTTCATCATTTTGTTTCATTCTATCTCTATTCTCCCATTCTGCATTATTTTTTAGCTTAATCTCTAACATTATGATCTCTCTGATCCTTCTCATCTTAGTAGCTTCTCCTGTTCCTGTTTGGTTGTGACACCATCTTGGAGTAAAATATCAGTCGTGCTGCTGCCATAAACACTTCTGTTTATAGTTCTTGGAGCTTGGCCTTTTTTTTCAGTGTAGTCCTATTTCTCAATCAATTTTTAAATCAGCAGTTCTTCTGGGCCCTTCCGCCATAACATCCAGGGAAGGTACACTATATTGCCAAAAGTATTTGCTCACCTGCCTTGACTCACATATGAGCTTAAGTGACATCCCGTTCCTAATCCATAGGGTTCAATATGACGTCGGTCCACCCTTTGCAGCTAGAACAGCTTCAACTCTTCTGGGAAGGCTGTCCACAAGGTTTAGGAGTGTGTTTATGGGAATTTTTGACCATTCTTCCAGAAGCGCATTTGTGAGGTCGCACACTGATGTTGGACGAGAAGGCCTGGCTCTCAGTCTCCGCTCTAATTCATCCCAAAGGTGTTCTATCGGGTTGAGGTCAGGACTCTGTGCAGGCCAGTCAAGTTCATCCACACCAGACTCTGTCATCCATGTCTTTATGGACCTTGCTTTGTGCACTGGTGCACAGTCATGTTGGAAGAGGAAGGGGCCAGCTCCAAACTGTTCCCACAAAGTTGGGAGCATGGAATAGTCCAAAATGTCTTGGTATGCTGAATCATTCAGAGTTCCTTTCACTGGAACTAAGGGGCCAAGCCCAGCTCCTGAAAAACAACCTCACACCATAATCCCCCCTCCACCAAACTTTACACTTGGCACAATGCAGTCAGACAAGTACCGTTCTCCTGGCAACCGCCAAACCCAGACCCGTCCATCAGATTGCCAGATGGAGAAGCGCGATTCGTCACTCCAGAGAACGCGTCTCCACTGCTCTAGAGTCCAGTGGCGGCGTGCTTTACACCACCGCATCCGACGCTTTGCATTGCACTTGGTGATGTATGGCTTGGATGCAGCTGCTCGACCATGGAAACCCATTCCATGAAGCTCTCTGCGCACTGTTCTTGAGCTAATCTGAAGGCCACATGAAGTTTGGAGGTCTGTAGTGATTGACTCTGCAGAAAGTTGGCGACCTCTTCGCACTATGCGCGTCAGCATCCGCTGACCCCGCTCCGTCAGTTTACGTGGCCTACCACTTCGTGGCTGAGTTGCTGTCGTTCCCAAACACTTCCATTTTCTTATAATACAGCTGACAGTTGACTGTGGAATATTTAGGAGCGAGGAAATTTCACGACTGGATTTGTTGCACAGGTGGCATCCTATCACAGTTCCACGCTGGAATTCACTGAGCTCCTGAGAGCGACCCATTCTTTCACAAATGTTTGTAAAAACAGTCTGCATGCCTAGGTGCTTGAATTTATACACCTGTGGCCATGGAAGTGATTGGAACACCTGATTCCAATAATTTGGATGGGTGAGCAAATACTTTTGGCAATATAGTGTATGATGAGGGGGAGGCCGAATCCAAAATAACATTTATTGTTTTTAGAGCAGGCTGCACAGGCTTTTTCTGTCAGCCTTGAGTCTTTTCTTGCTGGCTTTACATGGTCAATCCAATATTCCAAATTTGTTGGGCTTTTCTGCCTTAAAGTGAGCGTGCATATCCAAGATAGTATCCCATCTCAACTTTGAGTAAACTACCGCAGCCAGCCTGCATTCAAAAGGACCCAGCGTACGACTCAGCTCCAGGTCTTACTCGTGTAAAGCCTTTTTGAGTACATCCACCGCTCCTGGCAACCTGATCAATGCCCAAATACTGCTGACATCCTCTGTAATTATAGATACATCAGGTATCCTGCAAATCCTAACAGCAGAAGCCCGAATATCATAAATCCGAAATCCATGCATCTTCGATATCCTCCACCGACAGCATTGTAAAGCACATCACCCTTCATGCCTTCCAGGCGTCCATGGTGTTTCCCATGAAGTATGTGCCGGCAGGACAGGAAGGGTGTCCTTCACCCTGTCCTCCAGTTGAGAAAATGTTATCAATTCCATTGAGAGACCAGCAGACCAGATCGATTGTTTGAATTCTGGTGATATGAAGAGAGGGCTAAGAAAAGACAAGACACAGGCTTTAGGAAGCCAGGATCCAAAAGGCAGGCATATGAATATTAGAATTTGAGCAACACAGCTTCTATGTTCTTTTATGTCTAACATGTCTATATTGGTAAAAATGTTACCATGCATTCTGAGTTATTAGTTGTAAACGCACCGCATCGCATGGGTTTTGGGAGAATAATTAGACCAGATAACTGCCTTGAGCTGACTTGTTGTAATTAGGCCAAATACTGTAAACACAATTAATTACATTGAACTATATCAATTTAATACTATCATGACTTGTCTTGAAACAGTAATTCCATTTACAGCACATTTTCCTTTTGGAGTTTATGCCTTTAGGCAACAAAAAAAAACCATGTACAAAAAATTACTTCAACATTGTTGTTCTGTGGTTGAATATATATATTTTTTATACAGATAAATGTTTCTGAACAGTTAAACAAAAGTTGTAAAGCACTAGAATTTAATTTGTTCCTACAAGTGACATCAGGGAAGATGTCACCTTGGATACCAAACACTAAATAGTTAAGCCAATGAACACATTGAGATAGAATAATATATTCCACATTAATATGCTGCTCAGTCATCACAGATAAAAGATGCACAACTCTCCACCATTTTGCTGAACATATCTTTTTTTTTAAATAATATATTGTTTTTCCATTAGGAAAGATAATATGATTGATAACCAACATCTCTGTAACGAATCAGCAGAATTGCATGGACGGACGTTGACTTCTTATACAATAGATATAGTGGTTGTTTCTTTGTCACTTCTGATAATATGTGGGAATCTTCTTGTAATCATCTCTGTCATTTACTTCAAACAGCTGCACACTCCAACAAACTACCTCATCCTCTCTCTGGCTGTGACTGACCTGCTTGTTGGAGCTTTAGTTTTGCCTTTTAGTGCAATATTGTCTATGAGCTCATGCTGGTATACAGGTTATTTACTTTGTAAAATGCGAGGTCTGTTTGACATATTACTGTGCACAACGTCCATTTTAAACTTGTGCTGTATTTCCATAGACAGATATTATGCAGTGTGTCATCCTCTGACATATAGAAGTAAAATAAACAGTCATGTTACTCTGATTATGATTCTGTTGAGCTGGACTATTTCAGTTGTACTTTCTATTACTGTTAAAATTCGTGAGAAAGATGAACAAAATGTCAGCTGGAGGTGCAAGATATTTGTGGCAACAAAAGAGGGTAGCCCTGGACCGTTTATTTCCTTTTTTATTCCAGCTAGTATAATCTTAATTATCTATCTAAAGATTTTAATGGTGGCAAAGCAACAGGCAAAGCGCATACAGACAACTTTAAAGTCTGAAGCTGCTCTCAGTAAGATGGAGAAAAAGACCAATAAAACTTTGGCTACAGTACTGGGTGTGTTCCTCATGTGTTGGTCTCCTTACTTTGTATCTATAAGTTTAAGCAGTATAGGGAACTTAACAATACCAGCTGTAGTGATTGAAGCATTTAAATGGCTCGGATGGTCCAATTCTTTGTTAAATCCACTGGTATATGCTTTTTTCTACAGGTGGTTCAGACATGCTTTTAAAATGATAATTTCTGGTCAAATATTTCAAGGAGATTTTTCCAACAAAGCTGTGACAATAAACACATTTTGACACATTTCTAATTAGATTTTTTTTTTATATTCCTGTTTAAAAAAGTACAGCTGACATAGTACCGGCAGAGTTAAATGTAGGACATTAACCGAACACATCAAACAAAAATTATTTAGTACATTACCCACCTATCATATCAATGTTTTAGACCTTTAAATTGGTCTTTGCTTTAACTTTTTCAAAATATTCTAAATAACAGGACCTAATAATAATGTCTTAAATCAACAGTGTCTTTTTAAGGTTATTGCTCATTTTTTGTTAAATCAGGTTTTTGTTTATACCGTTTTTTTATTGAATATGTGTTTTAATGCTGCTAGGAACTTTTTTGATGGATTCCAATTTAAAGGAGGAGCTAAGTATACAAACAAGTTCAGTTTATTCTTCACCACAGTTATTTCCTTTTTACTTTTATTTCTGACCGGATTTTTGTGGGGTTTTTTTTTACATGAAAAAACATTTAAGTCCAGTCGCAATCCTGTATATCTTGGGTTTGACAGATTTTTCATTTGTCTCACACAAATTAGTAAAAAAAAAAAAGTTTAACCAAAGGACACAGATTTTTATTTACAAGAACCTGGTGCTATGAATATGGCACTAAAAAAACTATAATGAAAGTGAGGAAGCTTACATTTTTTAACTGTAAAACAATGTTTGAACTATGTCTTGTATATATCTTCTAAGATGATGATTAACCTGATCACACCTGCCAAAAATTGTTGAATTTTGACTGATTTTTAAACAGAAACAGCTGCTAAGGGGGATTTGTTTTTTTAATTGTAAAAAAATACTTAAAAACCAACTTGAATAAATAAATAACTATCAACATATGATAACAGGATTGTTTAAAGTAATTGTATTTTTGTTGTAGATCTTTAATATTATGAAACATGATTAATCACTTTGCCTGATAGCTCATTGTATTTATATGAAACATGTAATCTTTTGATCTGGGCCATTCTAAACCAAATCTACCTACATATTTTTATGTGTTTCTTTTTTGTGACTTTTAAATAAATCAGAACAGCTATAATACAGTATTTAGATTTAATTCAGATTTACTGATATGTGTGATCAGGTCAATTTGTCAGAATAAAAACACTGTGCCTACTTCAGTAACCACAGATAGAGGGGATAAACTAAATTTTAGGTATTAGAGAATTAAAGTATCAATTCTGTTCAATGGAGGTATTGTAAAAGAAATAAAAGGATTACTTCAAAATGATATTCAGATAACGAAAATAGAGAAATGTCACCATCAATATTGTGGGAAGAGGATAAAGTACTGAGGACCAACTCTGATGTATTAAAAAATAAATAGATGCTTAATAAATACTTAGGCATACAATTTGGTAATCTTATGCCCATATAGTGCGGGCCTTCAACAATTACTAAGGGTCTGTTCCCAATATGGATGTGATTTTGATGTCAAATATAACGCTAAGAAAAGCAATGTCATGATTGTTAGAAGTAGAGCAGATAAGCATCTGATAACCCCTGACTTCTCTTTATCTGGCATTGTCCTCAATATATGCAATGAAATTAAATATCTGGGACATTACATAACTGATGACCTATCTGATGATCGTGACATTTGTAGGCAGTATTGCATGATGTATGCACAGGCTAATACTTTGATCAGAAAGTTTGGTATGTGTTCATCCTCTGTGAAAGTAGCTCTTTTTAAAGTTTTTTGCACTTCATTTTACACAGCCCATCTATGGCGAAGATATAAAAAAAGTAGCCTGCACAAACTTTATGTGGCATACAATGATGGCCTGAGGCTCCCACTCAAAGTGCCCAGATGGAGCAGTGCTAGCCACATGTTTGCACATAACGCTGTTCCCACATGTGCAGCTGCGCTCAGGAATCTCATGTATAAATGTATGTGTAGATTATCTGTGTCATACAATAACATAATAGCAATTTTAGTAAACCCTGTTTTTAGTACAGTGAGATTTTTTTCAAGATTGTGGAAACATTGGCGTCATCACTTATTTGTGGCTCAGTGACTGTCATGCTCCTTTTTGTTTCTTTTTCTTTTTCTATTTCTTTTGTTTTCTTTTGTTTTTACTATGGACCTCTTTTGTGTCTGAAATAAAGATATCATTCATTCATTCAATTAAATTGGGAATACGTCAAAATAATAAAAAACACATAAAAAATAAGTTTAAGCAGTAATTAAACTATACAATAATAAATAAATGTAAAATATATAAATAAATATATTTCATATATTCATTCATCTTTATAATACAATTTTAACTTAATTTTATTATATTTTAAGCTGTATTAATTAATTGCTGGTTTTCATAAGCTTTTGTGTGTATGCCTTTATTTTGGTCTGTTTTATGTTTTTGTTCTATTTTTAATAAGTTCACAGCTTCCACCCTTTTTTCTCCATCAATTCTTTTTCTATTTTTGTTTGCATTTCTGCCTCATTATGCATATCAGGAGAGGGTAGTCTTAAAAGGAAACCACCTGCCTATTATGGTTAGGCTGCATTTAATCTCCATGCGACCGGGGTAGCACGAGTCACAGCAAATATGGCAACCTACCATGACATTATCAGTCAACTGAGCTGAGGCCTTAAGTAGGTTGATGCAATTTCTGATTTTGTTTGTTGAGTGGACACCATGATTGAATGTGTTTCTGTTACCTGCACACATGGGCAACGTAAGTTGTATCTTTAAAAACTTATTGTCCCCAACAGAAACTTTAAAACTACCCCTTCAGCAGGCACAGCTGAACTGGTAATCGGTCATAGCAGGCAAAGAGAGCTACTATGAGCTCTCTATGCTCAGAGTTGCAAAAACCTGGTAGATCAATCCATTAGTTATGACCGATTGACCTGGAAGAATTAGGGCAGCCAATGGCCGATGCGCTCTCCCCCTCATGCCACGGCTGTCCGTCAGTCAATACAAAGAGAGGAGAACAGAGAAAACAACTGAAAGAAGCAAGAAATGAAAAAGTGGCAACGCGAAATAGTTAAAAGGAACAAGCAAATTTGTTATGAATTCCTCAGATGTTTACTGGCTGTTATGGTAGAGTTTAATAATGCCTATCATAGCATTATTATGTTTAATAAATTACATAGACACTACAAACTACTAAAATAAACACAGGATACATCAAAGGAAAATTGTAAGGGAATCAATGAGTCCTTGAAGTAGAGTCTTTCATAACATTCAATCATTTGATAAGCTGTTGTGATAGTGTGAAAGTGTCCATTAGTTTTTCGGCGCCATTATTAGCATAAAAAAGAAAAGATTAGCAGCATATATGATATACACCAAACATTTGTAAGAATAGCTTTATTCACATTCAAACCATAAGGTTTCGCTAAATCCATTGATGAATAATGGCCAATAATCACAATGCATTTAATGTGATTGAATTGACGTGTATGGAGATGTGTGGATGAGAGCATAGACATAGATAGACCCCACATTATCAGGTTAGACCAAGCTGCTGTCAGAGATTATACAAGTTAATGAATGCTAACCCTATTGCACACTCTGAATCCAGTGATCTCTCAACATATTCCCAGATACATGACAAACTGAATGTTTCATGAGTTACATGGGGCCAACAGATTGTTCTGATTTTTCAGTTGCATTGAAAGAAATTTAGACAAACTTATAAGGAGAAAATGACATGATTCTTAACCAGACTCTAAAGCAAGTGATAACTGCGGAGGGTGGACAGTCAGGCTGAATGGTTCTGTAAGGAGTCACGGGAGAGGAGACAGTGCCAGAGCAGTGAGGACATGAAGGAAACAGACCTGATACTGGTAAGCATCTGGTCTGGTTCTGTGAAACAAAAGCAAGGAGAGGTAAAGAGTAGGCTCAGGTTGCTTAGATCGCTAATAGAGCTTGACCTGTTTTACCACTGAGAGAGCGGAACCAATTCGCAGCTTGCTCCCGGAAACTGCTCCAATATAAAGGCCAACACTGATTGCCATCAAGGAGTAACAGCTGGAACCCATCAAGCCTGCCAACCTTTAAGTGAACAAAACACAAAGACCTAACAGTACCCACCCTTCAACAGACCACGCCTGGCGGACGACCTGAAACAGAGGCTGCCGAACACTCAAAGTGATTGATGAGGGAGGGATACAAAATGAAGGAGCACAGAACCCAGGTCCGCTCCTCAGGACCATGTCCCAAAGAGGCCGCACATCCACAATGCGCCTAACTGTGTAGGCTGGGTTATTATCATTGATACGGGTGGGGGGAGGGCGCTCGGGACGAGTACACAAGACACTTGAGAGGTAGGGCTTGATCAGGGAAATGTGGAACGCACGATGCAGTCGGAGGTGGGAAGGCAACTTGAGGCGAACAGCAGATGAACTACGTACTGACTCAATGGTGAATGGACCTAGGAATCTAGGTCCATTCACGTCCATTCATGTCTGACTTAAATGGAAAGTGTTTTGAAGACATCCAAACTCTTTGACCAGGCATGTAGATCAGAGCAGGAACTCTTGCAATCAGTGAGACGCTTATTTTGGACAGATGTCCTTTGAAAGGCAGCCTTAGTCTGATTCCAGATTCTTTGGCAGTTCCTCATATGGTGTTTGACAGAAGGGATGATCTTATCTTGGAAAGTGTTCGGTAGAAGTGAGGGTTGGAAACCTTGGGAAGCCTGAAAAGGAGAAAGGGGGCGATGATATATGAGTGTTATGGGCAAATTCTACCCAGGGTAAGTGTGCTCCATGAGGTGGGGTTGGAAGCACAAACACCCCGAAGTATATTTTGCAGTTCTTGTTTGAGGCATTTACACTTTCCAAGAGATTGTGGATGAAAACCAGAAGACAGGCAAGAGCTGAACAGAAGTTTCTCCAGAGTTGGGAGATGAATTGTGCTCCTCTGTCAGAGACAATTTCTGTTTGGATTCCATGAAGGCGGAAGACGTGACAGAAGAGAAGCCTAGCTGTTTCTAATGCTGAGGGGAGCTTGGAGAGAGCAACTAGATGACAAGCCTCAGAAAAATTATCAATG